GGGCAAAATGACCAAATTTATAATTTTATTTGTTAGAAATCTTGTAGATTTCAAAACAGTGCATTTCCCAGAGATTTAAACGTGTAAATGAAAGCTTTTCTATTTTATTCACTTTAACGATGCGAATTTCATAATACCCTCAGTCGCCTTGTGTACCTAATTAATTGTTCATTATGTTCTCAGGGTGGATCTGCTGAAGTCGAATTAGTTAAAGATCAGACGTTTAAATTAAGTACCGATAAGGCGTACATGGAAAAAGGCAATGCAAATATTGTCTATGTAGATTACGAAAATATTTCCAAGGTGTTGAAGGTTGGGAGTCGCATTTACGTCGACGATGGTTTGATTTCCCTTGTAGTTACTGCGATCAGTAAGTATTATCTCTTTATGTTCTTCTGGATTGAAAGATTAAACTCATTTTTGATATTCATGTGTATTTAAGAAATATGCGAGTTTTTAAAACTGTTGATTGCAAATTGTTGATTTTAATCGTCAATGAAATAGTGAAGTTTGAGTCTTAATAATGTCATAACTTGTGCGAATGAAAAGAATATAATGTGAGAGTAGTCAATTAATCATTAGTAAAGATCACTATTAAAAATTAAAAAGTTAGTTAAAATTATACTACCTAGATATAATTGAACAAATTCGGACAAAAATAATATGAATTAATTCAATGGATTCAAAGATGAGACCCCTTCATGTTACGTATATGTGTGTTTCAGATCCAGACGTGATTGTGACCACCGTTGAAAACGGTGGATTGTTAGGTTCTCGCAAAGGTGTCAATCTACCTGGTTCCCCAGTGGATTTGCCAGCCGTTTCTGAGAAAGATAAATCTGATTTACAGTTTGGCGTTGAACAAGAGGTTGATATGGTCTTCGCGTCATTTATAAGAGATGCCAAAGCTTTAGCGGAAATCCGTTCAATCTTCGGTGAGAAGGGGAAAGACATTAAAATAATATCCAAAATTGAGAATCAGCAAGGAATGACGAATCTCGATGAGATTATCGAGGCTTCCGACGGTATTATGGTAGCACGTGGTGATCTTGGTATTGAAATACCGCCGGAGAAGGTATTTTTGGCACAGAAATGTATGATCAGTAGATGTAATAAAGTTGGAAAACCGGTGATCTGTGCTACGCAAATGCTCGAGTCTATGGTGAAAAAACCACGTGCAACTAGAGCTGAAACATCGGATGTAGCTAACGCTATACTTGATGGTGCTGATTGTGTCATGTTATCAGGTATTATATAAATTATGTTATACTATTAATTCATATATGTGTTATCGTGTTATCAGGTACAAATTATATATTGTATTATTAATCCATATAAGCAATTTCTTAATTAATTAATACATCTCTCGATATCGAAAATGAATTGTTTCACATGTGTTAATATATAATATTAATATACAATATTTATCGCTTCGATAGGTGAAACTGCCAAAGGTGATTACCCATTGGAATGCGTGCGCACAATGGCTAATATCTGTAAAGAAGCAGAGGCTGCAATTTGGCAGACACAAATTTTCCAAGATCTTACCAGCAAAGCATTGCCACCAATTGACGCCACTCATGCTATTGGAATCGCTGCTGTCGAAGCGTCTGTAAAATGTTTAGCTAGTGCTATTATAGTAATTACGACTAGCGGTCGTTCTGCCCACTTGGTTGCAAAGTACAGGCCACGTTGTCCAATCATCGCGGTAACTAGATTCCATCAAATTGCGCGACAAGCGCACCTCTATCGTGGCATTTTGCCTCTTTATTACGAAGGTAATAAAATATAAATTACATTACAACTTTCGAAATTAGGTTCAAATTTAAACTACCAACTATCAGATATATTTCACATAAAATAAATGATTTCTGATCCTTTTCTTTCCTTACGTGTTTATAGAAGCACCACTGGCTGATTGGGTGAAAGACGTTGACGTACGCGTTCAGTTTGGTTTGAAATTTGGTAAAAGCCGTGGTTTTATTCGATCTGGAGATTCAGTTGTAGTAGTCACCGGATGGAAACAAGGCTCAGGATTTACGAACACGCTTCGTATCATGTATGTAGACATAGATGTTCCTCAAGAATATGAAGCATATACTATACGTAGTGGAACAGATAGCTATGAATATATCATGTAGTTTCTACATGTTTGATGTGTGCAGTCCATTGATATCATTTGTTGATTTTCTTTGCATGCGCTTTATAAAAAATGTGATTTATTATTCTATGTGTGTTTATTTTAACAAAGTTTATAAGAAAGTACGTACTTGATATCCAGTTGCAATTAACTTTTGTATATTTGATGTTGTTAATAGTTTTCGTGTAATTGGATGTTATCTTATAGTTATGTATTATTGTTACATATTTGATTATTTTTACAAAAGCGAAGCAAATAAATTTACTTTAGTTCGTACTAGTGTTTTCAATTAAATATCGTTGTAATTGAATATTGCTAAATTAATTAAATTAATTAAATTAATTTTTAAAACGTAATAATTTTAAGCATGCATTACTTAAAATTTGTTCTATAAATAAAGTAATATTAAGTTATATTTTATCCAAATAATATTGCAATTGGTGATTAAAAACTTGTTTGGAACATATAGTGAAAGCATAATTGTATAGTATAATAGTATAATATATATAGTACAGTATAAGTACTTGTACAGTATAATATATATAGTATAAAAAGTATAATTTGCTAATGATAAATATTACTTTTATATCTTAATCTTTGTGTTCTTAACTGTGATAACTATGTTTTTATTTGTAACAAATTAAGTTTTATATTCTCATTGTTCAAACACAAAATTTGATATCTTAACATTGTATCCAACATTATAATTTTGATACATGTGTATATATATCTGTATATATTTTTTTCTTTTAGCACTGTTGAATAAACGTCTACTGGTACTGTAAGAAGCAGGAGATACTAAGTAATTTTAGATTTTGGAAATCCGATATTTATGTAACTTATACTATGATGATATATGGTAAACTTAGTAACATTATTGAGAAGGTAACACTCTGAAGATGCCAGTAGCTGCAGTATTATTGCCATTACTATTAAAAGTTTAAAAATACAGCACACCAAACTGTATATACGTATATAATTACATGTGTATATTGGTTTTTACGCATATACATATATACATATATACAATATCCATTGTTAAATAATAAAGTACAATAATTATTTGAAACAGTAAATTATTGAAATTTGGATTATTACTAGAAGAAACACTATGTTTTATTCTTTAATTTCTGTAGAAAGTATAAATAAAAAAATTTATTTTATTTTAGTATATTCTTTATAATCCTTCTAAATTCAATAACTAATTTATATATACATATATAGATATGGAATATAGTTAAACACATCAGCGTTTAATATAAACATACGTTCACGCAAATTATGCGAAAAGGTGAAAAGTCATGCGTATCTAATTAATAGTTGGAGGAACTATTCTCGACCTATTGAGTAGAAACTTCAAACCTTTATTCATAAATTTTATAGGTCAAGTGAGATATAGGAGAAAAACTTAGGATCTAAAAATGTAGATACAATGACAAAAGTTTATAAATTAATACTTTTAATTAGTTTTTTTTGCAAATGAAAATTTGATCAATTTATGGGCACTGAAATGCTAACGTCGCGTAACGGTGAAATGGTGGAACTAAAATTTATCGCTGTCCTTGTCGAATAATATTGCGTTCTTTGTCCGTCACGCAACGTAAATCTGTTTTATCGCACACTACTGCGCTCCCTATCTACGTTGCTACTGCCATCTATCAGAGATTGCTGAAACTAAAGTCTATTACCGACTTTGACCGATACATGTACTGCCATCTATCGGATTTTTCTCTTTTACCCTTTTAGTTCCTGTCGAAGGTGAGAGACGTATAGGTGGCAGGACCGTTGATAGACAAAGCGCGCAATATTACTTGACAAGGACAGCGATAAATTTTAGTTCCACCATTTCACCGCTACGCGACGCTAGCATTTCAGTGCCCATGGATTGATCAAATTTTCATTTGCTCAAAAAAAAACTAATTAAAAGTATTAATTTATAAACTTTTGTCATTGTATATATACTTCTGAGCCCTACGCTTTCTTCCTATCGTTCCATCATTCGATCTGCAAAGTCCATTTATAAAGATTTGCAAATTCAGTCCAATAGATCGAAACGGTCGCTCAAATAAAATTTGATTTCTCGTAAACTGTATTAAAATTGCTCAAAAAAATGTTCGAACCAAAATTGAAATTCCTCGGTACGTTAAATGGGATTGGATACACAGTAGAAAGAAAAAAAAGAATTCAGTCCAATGACTTGCGAAATCAAGAATAGTTTGGCTAGCTATTTAATAAATTTTGTGATGCAAAACTTCAAGAATTGTATACCTCTCAATATCTCGTAAATTAACAATTTAAACTCTTATACTAGATTAAGAGGAAGAAGATTCGTATCATTTTAAACATAAATAGCAGAAATTTTGTCAAATGATTGAGATCTTGTATCTGCAAGTTAAGTACTTAAACATTTTACATGTACTATATATTAATATCACAAACATTTATGTAAGATATAAATAAGTATACGCAATAATTGCAGAAACTGAAAATATTGTATTTTGTAATTAGCATAACATGTAACAGTGTGTAATGTAATAATTTGTAAAGTAAACACCTGTGTTATTATAAAACCACTTTGCCCATTTGTTCAAAATTGTCTCATAAATTATCTTCGAGTTTCCGACAAACATAAAAACATATGCAGTATTCATATTTTTTTTTTTTTTTTTTTAACCGCAAAATGTAGCCCGTCCATTTATTTACTTCCTGCCAAATTACCGGAAACATGCAGAAATAACTCGTAACTACCATTCCCAACAGCCAGATACAGATCTTCAAGCTTCGAAGAGTACAGAATTATATACATATTTCATAGTTAATATCTTTAGTTGCGCGATGTTCTGCACCAACGACCAAGCGCCAGCAACTAAATGGATAAAATCATGCCGCCAAATGCCATGGGTATTACAGAAATACATTTGTAAAATATAGATTTTTCATAATTGATCCCAGGTCGACACGCTTGCGATGAAACGCAGCATTTTCACATCTATGATACAATATAAAAACAGATGCATAGATGTTGGTTGATTAATCATTGTGAAATCGAAGTAAAATCCTTAGCCCTGAGAGGAAGATATTCTTTTAATGTCTGTCACAGATGATAAGTCTCGAAGATCAATACGTGACGGATGATCAAATGAAGGCAGCGTACCAAAATACACGTCTCGAGCATGACGTACAACTCGACATCAATTCCAGCCCTAAACTAGCAAGGCTCACTCGAATTATGGTTACGCTGGGTAAACACGACTTTCTACTGCGTTTGCATGGTTTTCAATTTTGTTTTTTTAATGCAAATGATTGTTGTTGAAAATTGATAATCATCAATCAGACGATGAGTGGAATATGTGGACAGATTTCATTTAACGCAGGCAGACAAATAAAATCTACATATGTACGTAAGATATATGTACATGTGTTTGATACGTGTAGGCAGGGCGAATTCTCATCCTGACGCCGTGGTTAACATGATGATGGCTGGTGCAAATATTGTTCGTTTGAACATGTCTCACGAGACGGAGAAGTGGCATGCAATCAGTACACAGTCCGTTAGAGAAGCAGGCAACAAAATGTACGAACTGACGAGCGAGGTTTATCCTTTAGGGATTGCAATGGATCTTCAGGGCCCTGAAATAAGAACCGGCGTATTCCGTGGTGATGAGAAGAGTATAGTATGATAAGAATCATAGAACCACTTCAATCAATGTATTCCACCTATATTAATAATATTAATAATATTGATTAATATCAATATGCGTAGAATGGACAGGCTTTAAAATGAGATCCTTTTTTTGCCAATTTTTTTTTTTTTTTTTT